GGTTTCAGCAAAGGCAGCTGCATGTACACCCAGGTAACTTCGGTCCCTTAATATGCCTTCTCCCTGCGGCAGCAGCAGCAGAAAGAGGAGCACTCAGTGGCAGCATGAGCGTTAAACCTACATATAAGCAAATACATCAACAGCAACAACACACGCAGCAGCAGCAACTGCAGTAGCAACAGCAGCAGCAGCAACAGCAGCAGCAGCAGCAGCAGCAGCAGCAGCAGCAGCAGCAGCAGCAACCGCTTACCTGCTGTAGTGCAGCGGCTACCCATCCCGCTGCCCATTGATACAAAGGAGCTTCCTGGCTGTTCTTTCTGCTTGTTGCTGTTGCTGCTGTTGCTGCTGTTGCTGCTGCTGCAGTTGCTGCTGCTGCTGCTGCTGCTGTTGCTGCCAGAGGCACAAGCAGCAGACGCAGCAGATGGATACGCTGCTGCTGCGCCCCCCAGCTGCTGCAGCTGCTGATGAGAAGATAGAAGGTAGGGGGATGTTCTTATACCCAAGTCATCAGCTTCTCTGCTGCTGCTGTTGCTGCTGTTGCTGTTGCTGCTGCTGCTGTTGCTGCTGCTGCTGCCGCTGCTGCTGCTGCTGCTGCTGGCACTGCTGCGGTTCAACGCGTTCCAGGCCGTATGGGATTCATATCCGTGCTGCTGTGCTTGTTGGTGGTGGTGGTGGTGCTGCTGCTGCTCGTGCTGCGGCTGCTGCTGCTGCTGCTGCTGCTGCTGCTGCTCGTGCTGTTGCTGCTGCTGCTGCTGCTGCGGCAGCAGCAGCTGGTGTACTGCTGCCTCTGCTTCTTCATCAGACCACGACCAGCCTAAGGCCTCAGAAGTAGTTGATGGGCGGTGTGTCTGCAGCACCTGCTGCTGCTGCTGCTGCTGCAGTTGCTGCTGCTGCTGCTGCTGCAGTTGCTGCTGCTGCTGCTGCTGCTGCTGGCTGCCGTTCATCCATGACGTTGATAGCGAGGAGACAGTGAACACGCTGCCCTGATGCCCAGCAGCAGCAGCAGCAGGAGCAGCAGCAGCAGCAGGAGCAGCAGCAGGAGCAGCAGCAATTGATGAGCTCTGCAGCAAGGTTGGCTGCTCAGGGATTACAGGGGGTTCTGCTGCTGCTGCTGTTGCTGCTGCTGCGCCGTCTGCTGCTGCTGCGAGGGTTGCTGCCGTGTGTAGCAGCAAGACCCGTCAGACTGCTGCTGCTGCTGCTGC